CTTCTCCTAGTATAATCCTCTCTCCCCTTAATTTTATTCTCCAGATATCACCCCTTCACTTCAACTCACCCTGTGCCCTCTATCTATCTATCTATCTATCTATCTATCTCTATCTCTATACATACATATAATTTTTTCCTCCCACTACCCTAATACTGACAAAGGTCTCATGAGTTATAAATATCATCTTTCCATGCAGGAATGTAAACAGTTCAGCCTTAATAAGTCTCTTATGATTTCTCTTTCCTGTTTACCTCTTCATGTTCCACTTGAGTCCTGTATTTGAAAGTCAAATTTTCTATTCAGCTCTGGTCTTTTCATCAAGAATGCTTGAAAGTCCTCTATTTCACTGAATGACCATTTTTTCCCCTGAAGGATTATACTCAGTTTTGCTGGGTAGGTGATTCTTGGTTGTAATCCCATCTCCTTTGCCCTCCGAATATTATATTCCATGCCCTGCGGTCCTTAATGTAGAAGCTGCTAAATCTTGTGTTATCCTGATTGTGTTTCCACATACTTGAATTGTTTCTTTCTGGCTGCTTGCAATATTTTCTCCTTGACCTGGGAACTCTGGAATTTGGCTACAACATTCCTAGGAGCTTTCCTTTGGGGATCTCTTTCAGAGGAGATGTGGATTCTTTCAATTTCTATTTTGCCCTCTGGTTCTAAAATATCAGGGCAGTTTTCCTTGATAATTTCTTGAAAGATGATGTCTAGGCTCTTTTTTTGATCATGGCTTTCAGATAGTCCAATAATTTTTAAATTCTCTCTCCTGGATCTATTTTCCAGGTCAGTTGTTTTTCCAATGAGATATTTCACATTGTTTTCTAATTTTTCATTCTTTTGGATTTGTTCTACTGTGTCTTGATTTCTCATAAAGTCACTATCTTCCAATTGCTCTATTCTAATTTTTAAGGAAGTATTTTCTTCAGTAATCTTTTGGACTTCCTTTTCCATTTGGCCAATTTTTCTTTTTAGGGCATTCTTCTCCTCATTGGCTTTTTGGACCTCTTTTGCCATTTGGGTTAGGCTATTTTTTAAGGTGTTATTTTCTTCAGTATTTTTTTGGGTCTCCTTTAGCAAGCTGTTGACTTGTTTTTCATGATTTTCTTGCATCTTTCATTTCTTCTCCAGTTTTTCCTCTACTTCTCTTACTTGCTTCTCAAAGTCCCTTTTGAGCTCTTCCAAGGCCTGGGACTGATTCATATTTTTCTTGGAGGCTTTGGATGTAGGAGCTTTGACTTTGTTGTCTTTTTCTGGTTATATGTTTTGATCTTCTTTGTCACCAAAGTAAGATAATATAGTCTGACTCTTTTTGTGAGGTTTGCTCATGATCCCAGGCAACTACTTGAGTTTTAAACTCTTTGTTAAGGTAAGAGTTCACTTCCAATGTGGAGAATGTACTGTTCCAAGCTTTGGGGGGTTGTATAGCTGTTTTCAGAGATACTTTTAGTGACCTGTAAATTTTCAGTTCTTCCAAGGTGGTATGATAAGGGTCAAGGTGTTTACTCTTTTCCTGGCCTGTGCTCTGGTCTTTGAGTGACCGTCCACAAGCAGTCTTTTCTCTCTTGGCACCGTGAGGAGGGTTTCCTTTCCTCTGCCACTACAAGCTGCACCACGCCAGCACTCCTCCTCGCCCTAGGACCATCACCCAGAACTGTGACCCAGATCCAAGCATGGGCAAAGCAAGAGATTCCTGCCTTAGCACCAGCAAAGAGATCCCTGCAGTCCCCCTCTGATCAGCCACTTGATTCCCCCTCAGTCTGTGGGCCAGAAGCTCAGGAGGCAGTCACCACCCTGGCGCCTGCACTCTGTGCTCTGGAACTGGCTCTGACCTAGCTCTTCTCTCACCGCAAAAACAGACTTTTCCCACTGACCTCCTCAGTTGTCTTTGGCGGTCGTGGATTGAGGAGTCTGGAAACTGCCACAGCTGCCCGAGATTCAGTCCTCTGAGGCCTGCTCCAGGTTAACTGTGGCCTGTGTGTCCATGCCACACTTCACTCCTCTCCCCGCCCAGCTCGATATACCTTTCTGGTCAACCATCTAGGCTGTCTTGGGCTGGAAATTTGTTTTACTCTGTCTATTTGTGGGCTTTGTTACTTTAGAATTTGTCTACAGCCATTTTTTTACAGGTATTTGGAGGTGTTTGGGGGAGAGCTCAAGCAAGTCACTGCTTTCACACTGCCATCTTGGCTCTGCCTAGATCTCACATTTTTAGATAGGGGAGGTGAGGCCCAGAGAGATGATAACTTTCCTAAAATTACACAGATAGCAAATAGCAGATCTGGCATTGCAACTCGGGCCTCCTGACTCTCTTGTTCTTGCCACCACTTAGATCTGTAATCAGTATTGGCTCAGAGCTCCAGAATTCTCACCCTGGGTAGCTGTGGAGCACTGGGTCTGGAATCAGGTTAGACTTGGGTTCAAACCCCGCCTCTGACACTTACTAGCTGTGTCAACCTGAACAAGTCAATTATCTTTCTCAGTCTCAGTTTCCTCATTTGTAAGAAGATGAAGTTGAATTTGATGGCCTCTAAGGTCCTTTTCAGCTTTAAAATTTATACTATAATAAACAATAAATAATAAATAAATAAATAAACAATGCTACTAGAAATCTACTTCCCTATGGTTTCACTCACCATTCCTATAAGTTTCCAAATCAAAATACATCTCTGCGGCCCCTATTCTTCTATAACTGTGTTGTTTCTCCCATTAGAATGTAAGCTCCTCGGGGCCAGGGACTAGCTTTGTTTTTGTTTCTGTGTCCCTAATGCTTGGCATTTTCCATTCATTCATGGGTTAACCAGGGCTTTATTCTGAGGTACCAACATTGGAGAGGCATTTTCTTTCCTGTAACAGTAACAGTAATAAGAGAGAACATGCCTCAACGTGACAGAGCAAAGAACAGAGAAATGCCTCAAGGGGGAAGGTGTTGTTGCCTGTCGGGAGGAAGTGTATACTTCCCTCCTCTATCAAATCTAGGTAGAGGCCACCAAACCCCTAGGGACTGTCACTCCTCCATCCTGCATGGTACCTGGCCAGAGGATGCTCTCAACATGGTTAGGTCCACGTTACATAGTTAGAATTTATGGCCTCGGAGTATACTGGGGTTTCTGTTCCTCCATCCAAATTCCTGCTTACAATTCTGCCAGGACTGTGGCCAAAAGGAAAGTGAAATATTCCTAGAACAATCAAATAAAAAAAAATCTAGCTGACTTTCTGCTCTCTATTTTAGTTTTCCTCTGGGAGGTGGCTCAAGCCTTTTCACAGAGGAGAAGGAGGTCAGTATAATAAACTATTCATTGGGAGGCCCAATTGACACCTCTCTGAGTCTGTCAAGATTTGAATCCCTTGAAATCTCTTCTTTCACAAGTCTGGTTGGCTGACTTGCCTCTCTCAGCTCCCCTGACTTCTCACCTTGAAGAATGTTTTGATTTTTTTCTACCTTCCTGGTTGCTGAGACCTGGCTGAGGAAGAAGGTTTCCTTTAGCGAAGGATTTCTCCCCACCTCCTTACTGCTGAGCTTGTGAGAAAAGGAGGTGGGAAGGAAGATGATGTCCTGTCACCAAGCTTGAGGTCCCTTCTCTTCCTGTCATTGAAGGTGCTAAGAACTGGAGTTCTTAGCTAAAAACTAAGTCTCACACCTGGACTGATCTCTTTATCTCTGGGGCAAGGGAAGCCAAGCTATATTTAATTCCCTATCCTAGGAGTAGCTCTTTATTTCAGTTTGTGGCTTACGGGGATGAAATATTTGGCATGGGGAAGATACTGCATTGAATGTGAGAAGCCCTTTTGCTCTGAACAGCTGCAATGAGCAGCCATTAAAGTCTTGCTGAACAAGATCTACTTCTGAGAACTCGGACAGTACCAGCCATCTTTAGTTCCTGACTGCTCTACCACCTCCTAAGGATTTACCCAAATTTCCCAGTCTGGTCCTCCCTGCCCTTTCCAAATCCCACCCCCAACACACACACCTTGGTTAAAACACAGGCTGCTCTGCATAGATTCCCTCTGGAAAACATTCTCAGGAGAACCAACAAAACCCACCAATTTGTAGGATTGAGTAGGGAGCTTATTAACTGTTTTGGTGGCAGAGAGCTAGCTGGCCTTGGAGTTCTTCAAGTCCCTAGCTGGCTGGTTGGCTGACCCCATAGGCAGCAGCTCAGTGGCCCAATGGATAAAATTATAGGCCTGGGGTGGGAAAGACCTGAGTTCAAATCCAGCCACAGACCCTGACTAGCTGTGTGACACTGGACAGGTCACTTCATCTCAGTTTCCTCCACTACAAAATGAGGATAATAACAACACCTACCTCACAGGGTTGTACTGATGATCAAAGGAGGTAATATTTGTAAAAGTACCTGGCACACAGTAGGCTATACAAATGCATATTCCCTCCCCCATCTCAGGCAAAACCTCTTAAACTCTCTGTGTCCTTGGAACCACTAGAGCAATCCTTCTGATGAAAAATATCCATGTAATCAGTGTCCCAGAAAACACAGCTCTCTTTTTCATTCTATGATTTAAGCATTCAAGTAGGTACCATGATTGAGTATATGGGGGCCTGCTTAAAGATATAGCTTACACAGTACACTTTCTTCAAAACAACCCTGTGAAGTGGGCAACCCAAATATTATTATGTGTTTTACAAATGAGGAAACTGAGATTCAGAACAATCAATCATCTAATTAGTGACAGAGCCAGAGTTTGAACCAGGTCTTTTTGGTTCAATTCTTCAAAAATCATGAGCTTAATGAAAATTAAAAAGAAATGAACATTTCCATGTATAAAGCAGAACAGAAAAGAGGATCATTTGCAAAACCACAAATCTCTACTATATACAGATTGATTTTTTGAAAATCTGTAATAAATTCAGCATGTTACTTTCAAAGCTAACCTGCTTGTATGTGTTTCCTTTTGAACTCCCTTCTATTCTTTTTTTTTTTTACATTCAGGAAATAACCTTCTTTTCTTTTTTTTCTTTACAACACCATCACTAGTTTCCCACTCCCCAAACCCAAATATATCCTGGCAGACTGAAACTGAGATGGCTGAGCTAGCCCTGCTGATCAAGATGAGCCTGCCAGCAGAGACTACAAGAGACTGCTCTGAATCATCCAGACCCCGATGCAGAAAACAGGCAGGACTTCTGGGAGATGACATCATGGCCAGAGCCTTCTTGGAGGGGGAAAATCTCTTGGGAGCAAGAACAGTGAAGGCAGAGTAAAGATGGTGTGGTCAAGCTATCTTTGGATTGGATGACTATATACACATGATTAGCATACATGCCAGATGTTTATCTTATGAGTATATGTTCAATCCTCTCACAAGTTTGCGTCTGACTTTCCTGACTTCTACAACATGCCTCAGCTGCAGTCTCATCCTGAAACTTCCCTCAGCAACCGGGCCTTCTTACCATGGAACATCCCTGTCTCATGCCAGCCCCTTTCTCCCATCGGTGAGTTCCTCCCAGCTCCATGTTGGGGAGGAGCCCAGGACAACCAACTTTCATCCACCTCCCAGCTCTGCTTCTGGTTTTCTGAACCTCAGCACTGTGTTCCCCCCAAAGTTATCTCCCTTAGCTCCCCCCATCACCAAGTTCCAGCTTTCTTTTGTGTTGTCTTGATCCATTAGACTATAAGCTCCTTGAGGAAAGGGATTACCTTTATTTTGGCTTGTATTTACATAGAGAGCACTTAATAAATGTTGCTTGTCTTGCTGCCTTTATACTCAAAAGGGGAGTTTATGGGAAGCTGAATGCCACTGAAACAGCATCAGGAAATGCCAATGGGGTCAGGGAAAGGGAAGGCAACAATGAAATTATTTAAAAAAGAAAGAAAAGAAAAAAAACTCTAGCCCCCACCTATTTAGTAATGTCTTAGCCACCATCTTTGTACCACACTCCCCAAGATGTGGAGAACTCAGGCATCACCATGTCATTCATTGTGGATTCCACTCAGTCTCTAACCTTGATGGCCCCGACCGTAGAAACACCAAGGAGAGTAGCATAGATACTTGATTAAATTATAATGCTTTTTCTTTATTGATGATATCAATTCAATTCAAAAAGCATTTATTAGGATCCTATTATAAGCCAGATACTGTGCTAGGCCCTAAAGATGTAGAGAAGTCTAAGACAATTCTAACGTTGAGAACATGGGTGATTAGAAAAATGGTGGCTTCACATCACACCTATGATATTGGGCAAGACGACGAAAGAAGAAAATGATGGGTGTTGGAGATGTTGGAAAGTTGGAACACTAATGCATTGTTGGTAGAGTTGTGAAATGATCCAACCATTTTGGAGAGCAATTTGGAACTATGCCCAAAGGGCTATAAAAATGTACATACCCTTTGACCCAGCATTAGCACTTCTAGGGCTATATCCCAAAGAGATCATACAAATGGGAAAAGGACCCACATGTGCAAAAGTATTTATAGCAGCTCTTTTTCTGGTGGCACAGAATTAGAAATTGAGGGGGTACCCATCAATTGGGGAATGGCTGAACAAGTTGTGGTATATGAATGCGATGGAATACTATTGTTCTATAAGAACAGGCTGACTTCAGAAAAACCTGGAAAGACTTGTATGGATTGATGATGAGTGAAGTGAGCAGAACCAGGAAAACATTGTACATAATAACAGCCACATTGTGTGACAACTAATATTGATAAACTTAACCCTTCCCAGCAATACAAAGATCTAAGACATCTCCAAAGGCCTCCTGATGGAAAATGCTATCCACATCCAAAGAAAGAACTACAGAGTTTGAATGCAGATCGAAGCATACTATTTGCTATTTTTTTTTCTGTTGAGTTTTATTTCCTCTTTCTGGTGGCTCTGCCTATTGGTTCTAATTCTTACTTACCACATCACTAATGTGAAAATATGTTTAATAGGAATATATACATATAGCCTATATCAGATTGTGCACCATCTTGGGGAGGGTGGTGGGGAAGAAGGGGGAGAAAAATTTTAAACTCAAAGCATATAGAAGTGATTGTTGATAAATCAAAATAAATTAATAAAAAAAGAAAATTTAAAAAAAGAAAGAAAAATAGTGCCTTTAACAGAAATTGGGAGGTGTGAGAGAAGGGTAAGTTGGGGAGAAAAGAGATAATAAAGTTTTGTTTTGGACTTATTTAGTGTGAGAATCCTATGGGGCATCCAGGTAGAGATGTCCAGGAAGCAGTTGGTAATGTAAGAACTGGAACTCAGGAGAAAGACAAGGGCTGGTCATGTATACTCAGAAAACATTTGTATAAAGACAACCTTACACCTCAGTTGCACACTTGTAGAATACATCCCAAAAAACACTACTAATGGGGGGGGGAACCCTCCCTGTTGAAACTCACACATTCCATGTAATTTAAACTGTCTCTGAACTAATCCTAGTTTTAAAGGGAATGTGAAGACAGGGTAGTCATTAGGAAAGGTAATTGTACCCTGCTTCCAAGGGAAGTGAGATGTTCCTTAATGACTTAGAAAAAAGATTGGACTTTACTCTTGATCAAATTTGCCAGCCCCTCCCCCAAACCAGAAGACTAGAAAGGTAGTAACCAAGAATGGGTGGAAGAAGTTGCCTGGAAGAGCAATGGGTAGATCTTTAAAAAAGAAAAAGAAAGAAAGAAAAGACAGTAGCCTTAAAATAGTATCACCTAACAGTCTCTCACCTAGGAGAGAATGATTGACATGGGATTCATAGGGATTCTTATTCAACACATGACCCTATAGATCTTATAGCCAAGGCCAAAGGGGCAGAGACCTGGGGCACTGAATTCAACCCTTTAGCTGTCCCTCAAGTGGGCTCTGTTGCCCACTTTTAGGGAGCCCCTTTCTCTCTACCACTAGCTGTGAGCTCAAAGCCCACACTAACTACTGTATGACCTTAGAAAAGTGACTTCCCTCTCTGTTCACTCTCTATTCCCTTCTCCTGATTCAATTCAATTCAAACAGCATTTATTGAGTGCTTTTTATGTGTCACAACATGGTGTGGTGATGAATGAGAAGTGTGGTGGAAGCCTTGGCCCCAGAAAGATAAGGCAAAAACTCACCAAGGAGCCCAGTTTGGTACTAGGGATGGAGTCCCAGGTTCCAGTAGGGAGAAGGTGATGGTGATGGTCTAAGGGGAGAAGGCATAGCATAGCCTTTTCCATTCTTCCACTGCAGATATTTCATTGGCTCTAACTGGAAATAAATTAGTTTCAGTTACATTGGACAAATTCAGTGGTGTGCACCTATTATCAGCTTTTTCAAATGCTTTGAATAGAAATGTTTGAAGAAATGTCTGCTCATTCTAAAAATATTTCTGTAGGATGTGACTTATTGCTCTAAGAATGTCTATCAACCTCTACCATTATTACTATTGTTACTGTTATGTAAAAATCATTCTTCTCTTTTTGTTTACTAGGGTTCAAATAGAAATAGTTCTAGGAAAAGACACTATCTTGCTATTATCCTTTTTATTTAATGTTCTATAAACTATTATAATAAAAGAATTGCTCTTTTGTAGTTGAAAAAAATTTTAGGCTACAGATAGTATGACAAGGACGAGACGTACCTCATCTTGTTCCTCTATGATTTTGATGATTGTGGTGGTGACAGTGATGTTTCTATCACCAGGGTACGAGGACAGAGTGGACCAGTAGGCAGTGTGATGCAGTAGAATGCTGTGTTTGGAGTAAAATGACTTGAGTTCAACTTCCACCTCTGCCACCTACTACCTGTATCACCTTAGCTAAGTCACTTTAATCTCTTATGTACTCGGTTTTCTCATCTTTAAAACAGTGAGATTGGTCTAGAGGACCTTCTAGCTCAAAGACTATGATTTTGTGACCTGAAGCTAAGTCACTTGAACTACAGAGAAGGAGATCCTATATTTTCTCTGCTAAGGCAAAACTAAATGGACTTGATGAAGGCCAAGTGGAAATTTAATGGGTGGAAAGGAAGGGAGAAGGCTAGTGATTACAACAGACAATGTCACTTAAATTGTGCCTAAACTTTCACTCTGACTCTAGCGCTGTTCTCATGTAATTCCAGACTTGCTCAAAAAGTCAAATCTATTCCTTTTGAAGTTATGAACCCACTGGCAGGCATGCCAGGCTGTTAACAAATCACAGTTTAAAAAGAGAAATTCACGCACTCAGTGGAGCCAAGTCTTTTCTTGGCACTTGAGGCTCACCCTCGGCTGCTTTTACTTAAAATAAAAATAACAGTAACTCAAGAGAATAAATGACAAAAACAAGTGTTCAGCCTGTGAGGGGATAGTGCAGGAGGTAAAGGATTGATGTCCACAGCTGTTTGGGACTTTCTCTCCTAGGTTTTCTTCTAATCAACTCTAGTCGTATCATATGTGCCTTTAAGAACCACAAATGGGGTAGAAGGCATTCCAGGCACTGAACCTGTGGGCACAGCAAAATTGTTATCCAGGGAAAATTGATCTGCCCAATGTGGTGACATTGATTTGGAACCTAAATTTGAATCCCACCTGATTTACTTCCTACAAGACCTTGAACAAATCTGTTCACTTCTTGACATCGCAATCTCTTCATCTGTAAAAAGAAGAGTTGAAGGGAAATGATGAAAAAAGTGGGAGGGAAAGGGACCTAGTAGTACCAGATTTCAAAGTATACTACAGCATAGCAATCATTACAACAACTGTTATTGGTTAAAAAGATAGAAAAATTGATCAATGGAACGCAAGATGCAGAAGTCATTGAATATAGTTGAAAACCCCAAGGACAACAGCTACAGGGGTAAGGACTCAACTATTCAATAAAAGCTGCTGGGAAAATTGGAAAACAAATTGGGAAAAATTAGAGTTAGCTCAGTAACTCACACCCTATACCACAATAACTTCCAAATGATTATATAACTTAGATGTGAAAGATTATATCATTTTTAAAAATTAGAAGGGAATGGAAGAAGATATCTTTCACAGCTATAACCAAGGGAAGAATTCTTCACCAAAAAAAAAGGATTGAGATGATCATGGGAGATAAAATCAACAATTTGGATTACATAAAATTGAAAAAGTTTTGCACAAACAAATACTATTAGATTTAGAAGGTAAATAGTTAACTTAGGGGGAAAAATCTTTGCGGTAAATTTCTCTGATAAAATCCTCATACGCATAACAAATTGATACAAATATGTAAATACAAGAACTATTCCCCAGTACATAAATGACCAAAGGATATGAGCAGGCAATTCTCAAGTGAAGAAATATAAGCTGTCAATGACCAAAACATTAGTAATAAATGTTAATTAAAACAAATCTGAGGTTCCAGCTCACGTCTATCAGTTTGGCAAAGATGACAAAAACAGAAAATGACTACATTTGGAAGGGCTTTAGGAGGACAGACATGCTAATGAGCCATCGGTGGAACTATGAAATAATACAACCATTTTGTAAAACAATTTGGAAATACATCCCAAAAGTCACTAATCCGTGCATCTTTTGACCCAGAAATAACACTACTAGGCAAATACCTCCAAAAGATCAAAGACAGAAGGAAAGGAAGCTGTGGCAGAAGCATTATCTAAATACTTGCCACTAGACAGATTAGGCAATTTTTTTTTCTTTAAAGATATTGAGACATTCATTGAGATTTGGTTGGTTAAAGGAACTAAGGACTGAGACTGCTGGACTCACTTTCTCATCACCTGAGTAAAAGCAGTCTTTAGGAACCAAAGGGGCTGTCAAATACTAGCTGCTGGATCTAGATGGGAACCTCCCTCACATGAAGCAACACAAGAACTTCTCAATGGCTATGTTTGTTGAATATCCTTTGCCTGCTATGGTAAAGTAAATCTCCTTCTGTTAACTGTTGAATGACCTACTAGTATCTCATTTTATTCCAGTACTAATTCCAAACTAACAGGAGACTAACTTGAGTCAAGACCAGCCCAGAATAGGTCCATATGTACAAAAATATTTACAGCAGCACTTTTAGTTATAGCAAAGAACTAGAAAACAAATGAGGTATCCATTGTTTGGGAAA